CTGAAGGACTTTCCTTCTGTAGGAGATCTCTAGTAGTCCCTCTACTCAGAAAAACTCTGAAAAACCCTGTGTCTGTAGAAGACATGTTAAGACCTTCAGATAGCATTTGAAAGTCTCCTATCCATAAAAAATCTGGGAGGTCTTCTATTCTCTTTAGAAGTCCTATTTAAGGTATATGGAGGATTTTCCGTCTGTAGAAGACAACTGCTAGTCCTTTAATCTTGAAGAAATTTAGAACTCTTTTCCATCATTGAAAAACTTGTTAAATGTCTTCCAGAAAATCTCTGCAGAACCTTGTATCTGTAGAAGATCTGTTAAGACCTTCGGATCAATTCTGCAGGCCTCCATCCATAAAAAATTTAGTGGTCTTCTGTTCTCTTCAAAAGACCTCTTTAAGATCTCTGTTAAATTCATCAGACCATGAAAATGTCTTCTATATTAAGATCATTTCGGAATTTTTTTCGAAAAACCTTTTGATCTACAATCTGGTCTTTTATTCTCTTCAGAAGACCTATTTAAGGTATATGGAGGATTTTCCGTTTGTAGAAGACAACTGCTAGTCCTTTAATCTTGAAGAAATTTAGAACTCTCTTCCATCATTGAAAAACTTGTTAAATGTCTTCCAGAAAATCTCTGCAGAACCTTGAATCTGTAGAAGATCTGTTAAGACCTTCGGATCAATTCTGTAGGCCTCTATCCACAAAAAAAATTGAGTGGTCTTCTGTTCTCTTCAAAATACCCCTTTAAGTTCTCTGTTAAATTCATCAGACCATGAAAATGTCTTCTATATTAAGATCATATCGGAATTTTTTTCGGAAAACTTTTTGATCTGCAATTTGGTCTTATATTCTCTTCAGAAGACCTATTTAAGGTATATGGAGGATTTTCCGTCTGTAGAAGACAACTGCTAGTCCTTTAATCTTGAAGAAATTTAGAACTCTCTTCCACCATTGAAAATCTTCTTAAATGTCTTCCAGAAAATCTCTGCACAACCTTGAATTTGTAGAAGATCTGTTAAGACCTTCGGATCAATTCTGCAGGCCTCTATCCATAAAAAAGTTGAGTGGTCTTCTGTTCTCTTCAAAAGACCTCTGCTAAATTCATCAGACCATGAAAATGTCTTCTATATTAAGACCATATCGGATTTTTTTCGGAAAACCTTTTAATCTACATCTGGATAGTCTTATTTTTTTCAGTAGACCTCCTGTCTGATATTCAGAAAAACCTCTACTTCCTTATTTCGAAAATTTCTTGAACGATCTGAGGAAGGCATTAAATGCCTTTTAAAGTCCATTTTGGTAAATCCTATAGTTCCGACCACGATGCAATAATAATGTGATGTATCAAAACTAAAATCGTTGATTTTATCTATATTTCACATGGTTGACAACATTGCACATCGAATTCAAGTAGAAATTACGCACTTTGACAATCGATACATCAGCCGCGCTAAGACTACCTATTTACTGTGCCATGGTTCCGACTAAGATTTATTAATAAGGTCAGCCAGTAAGCGAAACTCAGATGATTTTTCTCAAGTCTAATTTCAAAAATTGGGACCTTGTTTACGTTTCTATAATGGAAATTGATTCACAATAAGGGATGTTGACAGGAAACTTGAGAGGCAGCTGATATCCAGTTGGTCTCCCTGAATGACCTTATTAAAGGCCTTATTTCCGACCAAGATCTATTAATAAGGTCACCCAGCTAGCTAAAGTCAGCTGTTATTTCTCAGGCCTAATGTCAAAAATTTGGGCGTTGTTTACGTTTTATAATTGAAGTTAATTCACAATAGGGGATTTTGACAGGAAACATGAGGGGCAGTTAATATCCAGCTGGTCTCTTTGGATGGCCCTATTATTAGGCCTTGGTTCAGATTATGATGCAATAATAAGGCGATAAAAAAACATCTGTTTTTTATTCGACCATCTGACAGTTAATCGAGTCATCAGCTGCGCTAAATGGATTACCTATTTATTGTGCCATGGAATTCGAGTAGAAATATCGCACTTTAGCGCAACTGGCTGTTCAATCGATGGAATGGAATCGAATGGAATGCCTTTTAATTGTGTCATGGTTTCGATAAGACCATTTAATATGTATGTTTCTAAAATAGCACAATTTTTGCCCTGCCGTATAGTTAGCAACACTTAATATAAGCTTTTTTTTATTATTAATATAAAAGCTTTTGATTTTTGGTGCCGGTCACCGGTGCCGAACATATTTTCTAGAGAGACATAAACAAGTATTTTAGTTGCCAAATTGGTAGTTTAAAAAGTTTTGGAACACAATTAAGAAACATATTCTAAAAATAATCAAAAAGATAATGATAGACTTTGTTTTTTTTTCTAATAGTGGTGGAACCTTTAAAACCATAGTTACGAAATTAGAAAAAATAAAAATTCAATTAACATCGTATTTATATATAAAAAATATTTTAATATTTTTGGTCGAAAAAGTCCCAAAATGGCATCTACATTCTTCAGAGATAGAGAGAGGGAAAGTATTAAGAGCACATACCCCAGCCGAAACAAAACCAAAATCCAATTGAACTTTAGTCGCCGCTAACAAGAAGTGGGAATTGCAGGTGATCTGCCAAATAGCACTGTCGAAGCAAATCTGAACGGATTTCCAAATTAAAATTAGAAATAATTAATCTTAAAACATGTCTAAAGTAAAATATTTCTATGATTTGCTATCGCAACCATCGCGAGCCCTATGGATTGCCCTGCAAATGGGTAAAATACCCTATGAAGATTGTCCGGTAGCACTTAGAAAATGTAAGTAAGTAGGTTAATAATACTACTAGCAAAAAACATTATCAATATAAAACAAAATACAACAAAATCTGTTATCTCTATTACAGTGGAACAACGGACCGAGGCATTTAAGAAAATTAATCGCTTCCAAAAGGTACCATGTATTGTGGATGGTGATTTTCATTTGAGTGAATCGGTGGCGATTTTAAGGTAAATATTTATGAAATTAATAAATGGAACTAATGGAAAGGCACTCTGCTAATTTTACAGATAGCATTTTGCCGATTTGTGAAGAAATTATCCTCAGTTAGAAAATAAATTGGAAATATTTACGATCCACAAATTGTTTTGTAGCGATTGAGGTGATTTCTGTGTATTTTTATAAGAGATTTGAACTATTTTTTAAATCTAAAGCAAACATCAGTAACCCCTATCTTTCAATATTAAAAAAGCACTTATTTTAATCTCCTTTTCCATTTTCAGATATTTATCCGATAAGGGTTTATTCTGTGAAAAACTCTACCCAAAGGATATTAAGGAACGTGCACGTGTCGATGAATTTTTGGAATGGCAACATTTGTCTATACGTTATGGTTGTGCCTTCTATTTTGCCCGCCTATGGTTATATCCCATGAGAGGTATGGCTGAAAAACCAACTGCAGAAGAAGCTGCCAAATTTCGTAAAGAAATGGAAACACATTTGAAATATTTGGAAACAATGTGGCTGAATGATAGAAAATTTGTTAGCGGCAATGCTCTGACCGTGGCTGATCTATTTGGGGCATGTGAAATTGAACAGACAAGTGAGTAAAGAAATTTATGGAGTCGTACATCAATTTGAGGTGGTATTAAAAATTTTCACCTTGCGGTTTTTATTCAATTAGATATTTTATTCAATATTATTTTTTATTTCAATATTATTTAATAATTCCAATATTCTAATAAGAACTGTTTTCCTTTTCTAGAAATCTGCAATTACGATGTCACTAAGAAATTTCCCAAAATCACTGATTGGTTAGCCAGAGTACGTGAAGAATCAAATCCATTCTATGATGAAGGTCATAAGTATGTCGAAAAATTGGCGGCGTTTAATGCAAACAATTCATTAGTTAAAGATAATTAAAATTATAATGAAACTGCCATTTGATTTGGAGATTAGTTACTTACTATTTAGGACTAAAATTTGGAAATGTACATGGATCTTCAAATCATAAATTGTTGAATTTTTAAATGTAAATAAAATTGTTAATATAAAATCAAATAATACACCTATACACGAGCTGAAGGGAGTCTTTATAGACGAGCTGAAGGGAGTCTTTATAGACGAGCTGAAGGTAGTCTTTATAGACGAGCTGAAGGGAGTCTTTATAGACGAGCTGAAGGGAGTCTTTATAGACGAGCTGAAGGGAGTCTTTATAGACGAGCTGAAGGGAGTCTTTATAGACGAGCTGAAGGGAGTCTTTATAGACGAGCTGAAGGGAGTCTTTATAGACGAGCTGAAGGGAGTCTTTATAGACGAGCTGAAGGGAGTCTTTATAGACGAGCTGAAGGGAGTTTTTTTGTAGACTTTATAAAGACGAGCTGAAGGGAGTCTTTATAGACGAGCTTTTGAAGGGAGTTTTATAGAACGAGCTGAAGGTAAGAAGATTCATTCAAAAGATGACTTGATGAAAAGCATCTTTACATAAGGGATTTATTTGCGCAGATCATTAGGGTAAAAAATTATTTTTACAAGCTGCATGAACCAGAATGCAAAAAGCTGATAAAAAAATATTATTTTGTTCCTAACCATAAATTCAAATTCAAATTCAATTAAATCCATGAACCTCGATGTGGCAACATTCTGGAAGATAATTTCTATTCTCAATTCATGTTTAACTTCTTCGATATTCTCTTGAATGACTGCATACGAATATGCGAACCCGACCATCCCGCATAAGAAGCCAAAAAAAAGATCAACAGAAAAAAAGCTTGGAGAGAAGAACTTTGGACTGATATGAAGGCGTACAAAAAACACACACTTCTATTATGCACAAACAGTAGACCAAAAGCAAGCAGTCGCATCGGATTGGTATTGTTTAGCAAACAACAAAAAGAAAAAAAAAAAACAGCTGGGCCGGGTCGAACGGAGTGTTTGCATTAACAGCAGCAGAAAAACAACAATATAATATATTTTTTATTTAATATTCTACATATTTTTGTTAATATATTTGATAACATTTTCATATACGACGCAATAAAATGACAAAAATTAAATATTTCTACGATTTAATGTCTCAACCATCGCGAGCCCTATGGATTGCATTGCAAATGAGCCGAACTTCATATGAAGATTGTCCGGTGGCAATTAGAAAATGTAAGTATGTATAATAGATTTTTTTGAGACTGTAAACAAAAATGTAGAATAATTTACCATTCTAATACAGGGCTGAATTGGCAATGTGAAATTTTGTTATTGGGGCCTTTGATAAAACCGAATTTGTCTAACTATCCCCGTTTTTTGATTGACGAACTGTGGAGAATATTTTAAAATGAACTAAAGGGAGTCTTAACAGACAGCCTGCAGACAGGGAATCAAGCTGAAGGGAGTATTTTGAGACGAGCTAAAAGGAGTCTTTATATACGAATAGAAGATAGTATTTATAGACGAACTGAAAGAAGTCTTTATATACGAGCTTTGAAGTCTTTATAGATCTGCTAAATGGAGACTTTAGGAAAAAGATGAATGAATTAAAAAATGCAGGTAGTCTTTATAGACAAGTTGAAGAATGTCATTATAGCCGAGTTTTAGGGGCGTCATAATAATTGAGCTTAGTTGAATGAAAATAGTCTTTATAGACGAACTGAAGGTAGTCTTTACAAATTAACTGAATGAGTGAAAGGAGTTGAAGGAAACTTTTAGAGACGAGCTGAATATAGTGAGCGGTTGTATACGAACATAACGGAAGTATTTATATTAACGACCTGAACGAAGAATTTATATACGAACTGAAGGGAAGTTTCATACACGAACTAAAGGAAATCTTCAAAGACAAACTAAAGGAAGTTTTTATAGACCAACTGTAGTGAGCTTTTACAGACGAAAATGCTTTATAAATCAGCTTAAATGACTGCTTGGAGATTTAATGGTTTTTTATAATAACTGAAAAGTCTATAGATAATAAAAGGTACCCTCGGGGGATAACAATAAAATTTTCCAATTATTTTAATTTACCAATATCCCCCTTATCGCGAAAACCCTACGATATATGATTTAATTTAATTTGTTTTGTCATTTTTAGTGGAACATCGTTCGGCGCAATTCAAGAAAATCAATCGTTTCCAAAAAGTACCCTGCATTGTGGATGGTGATTTTCATTTGGGTGAATCTATAGCCATTTTAAGGTTAGTTCTTTACCTTATTCTCCAAATAAAAAATAGTTCATCTTTTTTCGTTTTTCCCTAATTTCAGATATCTATCCGACAAAGGCCACATTGATGATCAGTTGTATTGCAAAGATTTGCAAAAACGTGCACAAATTGATGAATTTTTAGAATGGCAACACTTGAGTGTACGTCTCCCTTGTGCAACATATTTTCTACAGGTTGGCCTGTATCCTATGATGGGTTTGGCTGAAGTCCCTACAGTTGAAAAAATGACCGCTCTCCAAAAAGATATGGAAACCAATTTAAAATTAGTGGAAAATATATGGTTAAAGGATAAGGATTTTCTAACGGGTAATAAAATGACGGCAGCTGATCTGTTTGGAGCATGTGAAATTGAGCAGATAAGTAAGTTTGAAAGGACATTTTTGAACAAGAATTTTATATTTTAAATACATTTTTCTTATAGAAATCCCTAAATATAATGTGGGGGAAAATTTCCCAAAAATCTCTGAATGGTTAGCCAAAGTTCGCCATGAATCAAATCCATTTTATGACAAGGCACATAAATATGTGAATAAACTTGCTGGCGTATAAATTGACGATAATGAAAGGATATAATGAAGAACAAGAGAACTGATTTTGAATTAGGGACTTTGCCTTTGTATAGCCATAAGCAAATATTAACTAAAAAATAAATACATATAACCTTTTTATTGCATTTAAAAGTCATACAAATATACATAAATATAAAAGATTCGAATTTACCCATATTGATTATTTATAAACTGCAAATTCTATAACGATATATTTCTATATAAAGTAGCAGTCAACTTTCTACGTTAACTTCTGCCTTCAAAGAAGTTGCACTGTATAAAGAGGCTCTTTTATAGACGAGGTGAAGGGAGTCTTTATGGACGAGTTGAAGGGAGTCTTTTTGGACGAGCTGCAAGGTAGTCTTTGTAATCGAGCTGCAAGGAAGTCTTTATAGACGAGCTGCAAGGTAGTCTTTGTAATCGAGCTGAAGGGAGTCTTTATAGACGAGCTGAAGGGAGTCTTTATAGACGAGCTGAAGGTAGTCTTTATAGACGAGCTGAAGGTAGTCTTTATAGACGAGCTGAAGGTAGTCTTTATAGACGAGCTGAAGGTAGTCTTTATAGACGAGCTGAAGGGAGTCTTTATAGACGAACTGAAGGCAGTCTTTATAGACGAGCTGAAGGGAGTCTTTATAGACGAGCTGAATGGAGTCTTTATAGACGAGCTGAATGGAGTCTTTATAGACGAGCTGAAGGGAGTCTTTATAGACGAGCTGAAGGGAGTCTTTATAGACGATCTGAAGGCAGGGAATCGAGCTGAAGGGAGTCTTTATAGACGAGCTGAATGGAGTCTTTATAGACGAGCTGAAGGGAGTCTTTATAGACGAGCTGAAGGGAGTCTTTATAGACGAGCTGAAGGGAGTCTTTATAGACGAGCTGAAGGGAGTCTTTATAGACGAGCTGAAGGGAGTCTTTATAGACGATCTGAAGGCAGGGAATCGAGCTGAAGGGAGTATTTTGAGACGATCTAAAAGGAGTCTAAAGATGAACAGAAGGAATAGTTTTCAGAAGAACTGAAGAGAGCCCTTATAGAAGATCTGAAGTGACTCTGTCTAGACGAATTAAAGGGACGTTTTTTTGTAGACGAACTGAATTTAAAGAATCTTTATAAACAGAAGTCAGTTTATAGAGGAGTGGATCGATTTTATTGGAGGTGTTTTTAAATACGCTAATGGAATTTTGTTTTATAAGCTCGCTGATGAGAAGATTTTATTGCAAACGAGCTGAAGGAAAACCTAATTTAAGAAGATTCATTCAAAAGTTGACTTGATGAAAAGCATCTTTACATAAGGGATTTATTTGCGCAGATCATTAGGGTAAAAAATTATTATTACAAGCTGCATGAACCAGAATGCAACAAGCTGATAAAAAAAATTATTTTGTTCCTAACCATAATCTTCAAATTCAATTAAATCCATGAACTTCGATGTGGCAACATTCTGGAAGATAATTTCTATTCTCAATTCATGTTTAACTTCTTCGATATTCTCTTGAATGACTGCATACGAATATGCGAACCCAACCATCCCGCATAAGAAGCCAAAAAATGATCAACAGAAAAAAAGCTTGGAGAGAAAAGAACTTTGGACTGATATGAAGGCGTACAACAAACACACACTTCTATTATGCACAAACAGAAGACCAAAAGCAAGCAGTCGCATCGGATTGGTATTATTTAGCAAACAACAAAAAGAAAAAACAGCTGGGCCGGGTCGGACGGAGTGTGTGCATAAACAGCAGCAGAAACAACAACAATATAATATATTTTTTATTAGATATTCTACATATTTTTGTTAATATATTTGATAACATTTTCATATACGACGCAATAAAATGACAAAAATTAAATATTTCTACGATTTAATGTCTCAACCATCGCGAGCCCTATGGATTGCATTGCAAATGAGCCGAACTTCATATGAAGATTGTCCGGTGGCAATTAGAAAATGTAAGTATGTATAATAGATTTTTTTGAGACTGTAAACAAAAATGTAGAATAGTTTAACATTCTAATACAGGGCTGAATTGGCAATGTGAAATTTTGTTATTGGGGCTGTAATGTGGCTGGCAAGTATGACCTCTATTTATTACCAAGGTGTCAATGGTATTTTGCTAATTTGGCTCCGGCTAAAACTCTAGCGGCGAGGAGGTACACTTGAGCACATACAAAAATAACATTATATCATTTTACAAGAAAACCGTTAAAACATGTTGTTGTATTGTTTTTGATTGTTGTTGTTGCTGGATTGTATTTGGTTGCTGATGTTGTTGTTGCTGGTACCCCTAGGTGGAGTTTGGGTACCCTTTGCCCTCCCTATGGGTTCCTATCTTGAACCCCCTTAATGGGCCTCTGAGTCATGAGGACCCCCATTACTTATATTACGGCTGCCCAATTACCTTTACATTACCTTTCTTTATTTACCAATTAATTCATGGCTCAAACCTTTCATTTCAATTCATAATTCGATAACATTTTTATTGTTTATTCAAAGGTTATACCATATAAGCTTAAAGTAGTTACATCTAATAACAATTGGATTCAATAATACTCAAGATTATGTTTTTTCTTAAACCTTAGGATGATGTAATATAAATGAACGATTTACAAATATGCTTCAGGAAACTAAAGAAATATACCAGGACTGAATTTGGAACATACTCTCAGGTGATTTCCCCAGATATTTGGGTTAAAATGGTTTAAAATTCAAAATGAAATAAATTTCCTTTACCTATCGAGCTCGATGTGATGTAGGATTTCGTCGCTACTACTGTATTTATCAAAAAAATATACCAGAATATGGTTAATTTCGAAATGGGGAGATCGCCGAGGCGTAGTTAACAATGATTATAAAAAAAATGAAATGAAACTGCAAAATATTGTATGTATAAATGAATAATAATCATGTACGTATAAATGAATAGTAATGAATGTATAATAATAAAGTATGTATAGAGGTATAATAACGTCTGTATATATTATGACTAATTCATTAATAGTAAAGGTATGAGGACACTGCTGCCAGTCAGAATTCAGGACCTCGATCTAATATCCGGGCTACAGTCAATTTGATTCCTGTTAGGTCTTCTACGGGTTTACTTACAATTTCAATGGATCCAACAACAGAAGGCTGCGCGGCTGAGGGTGGTATGTTGAGGAAACGAAATGTGGGCTAACGGTAGTTGAATTACTAACGGCAGTTGATGTGGGTTGAATTTCAGGCTATTGATGATGATGTATGAATTTGTCTATGTAATGCTGTGTATGTACTGGGCTATGGGATAACTGAGGTACAGCTGGTTTATTGGGTGGCGGTGCACAATTTCTTTGATGAAAGGTTGATGTGTGAACTGTTTTGCGGAAGGTTTAGGTCTGAACCGGGATTATTATATTTTGATTGCACTAGCTTGTCTATGGGATGTTGGTGTGTACTGGTTTATGAGATTGTTCGGTATGAATTGGGTTATTTGATTTTGATGGCACTGGGTTTTTTTGTAAAAAGTTGGTGGGCTGATGAATTTTGAGTTGGTTAAGTCTGAACTGGGTTAATGAATTTTGGCGGCACTATTTTTGTCTATTGAATGTTTGTGGGTTTACTGATACCCGAACAAAACTTGTTGTATAGTAAAAAAACTCACTGTACCGTTACCCAACTGCGCGTGCACCATCACGTGTAATTCACTGGTACAGTCCCAGCGCCTCGGTGGCGGCTTTTCACTGTTGTTGGGTTTGCACAAATTAACCCAACCAGTTAAAAAAAATATTGAACAATTTCAATATTAATTCACGAAAACACACACTTTTTATTTTTAGAGTGCATCCATTTGAATGTATATTCTTCACTCTTTATTAGTGTTTTTTTTTTTTTATTATTTTCACACAACACTCTAACACCGGTAAAATTCCTTTATTTTTCTTTCTGTTTCTCCTTTTCTTTTCGTTTACGTATTCGGTCTTATCTCGCCGGCCGCTACTCTCGAGAATGAAGCGATAGTAATTTCCAGGCCGGTTAGGGATCGCTAATTTGCAAAAATGCATCAACCAATCAAATCCTGACACGTCAGCAGCACATATGATCACCGTGCAGTGTTGCACATGCAATGGTGATTCGTGTAATATGACGTAGGCAACAGGGTGACATAACAAACCCGAAGAGTTACCGGAGACCTGTCGGAGGAGAACTAATTCGGGAAGTCGACCTATCATAACCTTGGAGTGGGGAAGAACTGCGACCCTGAGAATAAGAGTCTCATGTTCTACCGACTGAGCTAACCGGGCGTCTACTTCGAGGGTACCATATGTTGGAGGTCTTTTGCGTGGTAGATTCCTATTCTCCTACCCTGTAAATCCTCAATTTCGTAAAGGGAATTACCTAATTTCTGAACAACACGGCACTTAACGAACTTCCGGCAAAGTTTAGCATTGAAATGGCGGGAAGCGTCACTTTGCACGAAGTTTCTTCTTAGAATTTCTTGACCGGGTTTAAACGTGACGTCGCGAGATCTTCTATTATACCGAGCCGCTGATTTCTCATATGATTCATGTAGTTTTTTCTTTATCGCGCTTCGAACTAATTCCAATACATTGTTTTTCGGAACGACTTCAATCGATCCGTCTTCTAAAGCGCCAAGTTTATCTACTATATCGTAATAGCTGGCGTGCGTGACCATATGTGAGCCAAATAATGAAAAATACGGTGAATATCCGGTAGAAGTGTGTATTGTAGACCGAAGTGAACATTCTATAGCCGATAGAAAACGGTCCCAATCCTTTTGATCTTCTGATACATAAGCGCGTATTGCCGAGATAATAGT